GCGGCGTTCCTACTCAGCGCGTCCTTCCGGTCCATCGCGTCCCGCCCACTCAGCACGTCACGCCCACGCAGGGCGACCTTCCTTCTCATCGCGGCCTTCCCGCCCAGCGCACCCGTCTTGCTCTGCCTGCGCTTCCCGTCCAGTGCGGCCGGTCGTCTCTGTACCGCTTGCCCGCGCAGCAAGACCCACCCCCGCAAAACAAATGTCCCGTGCGTGACGTCTTTCCCGCGCAGGACGGCTGTTCCTCGCATGAGGACGTTTTCGTACAGAGCCATCTTGACTGACGACGCTCTCCACCCGCAGAACATAAGCCCTCCATGCTCAGCTCTCAGCTCTCCCTCAACTTACTCTCAACAAGATCACGAAGTTCAGTTCACACACAATGCACTCAGGACTCACGTTTCAACAGGCATTACCCTAGGGATCGTGGCGGCTATGCCAAGGAGCAACATCGCACCTGTCGTCTAATATCGTTGCCCCTTTTTGCTAAGTCTTGTTGTGAAATCTCGGAACAAAGACGAACTATGGTGGAGGTTATTAATTAGGTCTTATTATTTTACAAATGGGATTGTATATATAGTGGTAAGAGAGATGTGATCTGAGCGTTTTTAGAATAACCTTACGACCCAGCTGTAGCTAACATAGCCATTATACATCAGGCCTCTTGAACTGTGGACAATATTTGACGTGATTGCACTCAATAGCGAATGGTGTTTTTTTATTGTTTAGTCATTGTAAGAATCCCCGAGTGATGAAAATGAAGTTAGGGTTGAATACTCTACGTTCTTGTATCATTGTAATAGCGAACGTATTTTAGTGAATACTGTGTTGTTGAAGCCACTCCAGATGTCAGTGACTGGGCATAGTATGTGCACGGGCAGAAGGGGGCGCACTCTTCGTCGGTAAGGGCAGTAATGACATCAACCGCATCCACTATGGCAAACAATGTCAGCCTATGGAGTTTTGTTCAGTTTATTTGCTAATTATGAAGACTAATGAAATGTGGGAAAGTGTGTGGGAGAGGTAAATAAGCTGAATTTTGGCGTAATAATGATAAATTGAAATACAGAACAGAAGCTTCGGGCTTTATCCTGTGGCCCCAGGCTAGTCGACTACTCGTCCGTTAAACCTACTCGGCTGAAGGAAACACAGGGTGCATTGTGATGCAATGCAAATTCAGTAGATTGTAAATTAATTTGATATATTTCATGTCCTATTAGAAACGTCCTATTATTACGAGAATGTAATGTTTTTTAGTGCGTTGACTGTTTTCCTGAATTCTCATGTTCATCAGTTAATAGAAAAGGTTGATTGGTGTTCTCATTTCCGTAACACAATTTGCATCTCGACCTGCACCTTTGTCGCATTATCAACATCAAAAACAAGACAGTGACGACATAGGAAACCACCCTAACTGGAAGGGGGTGGCTGTAGAGACAAGGAGTCGACGGTATGAATGAAGGCATTCGATATTTACGCTTGATTTTACTAGCTCTTTCTCGACAGTTAGCAAGATTCGACGTCCATCACGCGAGTGCGAATGGGTAACTAAGTATAATTTGTTTAAAGAACCACCATACACTTGATGAACGTTTTAAGTTTTAGATATTTTATGACAATAAAATATGAATCTTGCGTTCTAATACAAAGCAAAAGTGTACACATGTAAAATATAATTGAAAACCAGAGGATACTAGCACTAAGATTGGAAAGAGAGAATTCCTTAAATCAAAATATGAAAGAGTATTTTTTATTATCTGAATTTAGTACAGTTATTTTATGAACGTCAAGAATGATCCATTATGTGCAAGAATGTAAATCTAGTCGTGCAACAATAGCACTCACTTTCTCGCATTATTTATACATTTGCAACTTTTTTTTGAAAAATTCAGAGTTCAACACAAATTATACCTATGCCATTCTTTTAAGCAGCCCCAGTTTTATTCACGAAAAAATGTTAAAACTTGGTGCGATTTTTGACAAAAAAATATATAAATCACATTCTTTTCAAGGATCACTGAAGCCAAAACTAGTTGCTTTTTTAAAATTATCTTTTTACTAAGCTGATGTATTTAGACAAATTCTATTTCAGGCAAACATTTCTATCTTAAATTTTTGTAATTTTCAAATGCTAAAATTGTCACAAATTCAGAGTTTAAAGAAAATGTGATGAGCACATTCCTTTGATGCTTACGAGGAGAAAATTTAAAGAACAATTTATATCCGTTTTTTAGAATTTTTTTTAAAATTAAAATTTGCCAATTACTTCACTCAAAATACCAGAAACCTATGCTTTTGAAACATCAATGTCCTTATTTCAGCATGTCCTTAAAGAACATATTTCATTTTTGAGGAAATTTAGAAATGTGGTTGAGGTTTCATATAAAATGCATTCCCACAAAATAAAAATAGCTTTTTCTAACTCAGAGAGCCTGAAGATCATTTAGATGAATCCGGGAATATTAATTCTGGAGAAAATTTGCACTGGAGAAAACTTTAGGCCAGAGATTCCGAAACCCCTTAAAAGATCAACCCCCTTTTGGTTTCATCAAACACCTTGATTTTTGTTTGTAATATACAACTTACAAGTATATAATAAGACAGAGTTGCACAATTGACTTGATAACAATTACACAAAGGACATGAATATTTTTGGTGGGAAAATTGTTTATTTGCCATAAAATTATAATTTTAAATTTTACAAACACAAACGAGTATTATTAGATTTTGAAACTTTCTATAAGAAAACAACTAATTATCAATTTAATATTTTTTGGTCATCAATAGAATATTGATTATTCCTATTAGTCGCCGGTGCATAATAGGCTTTCGACCTTAGGCCCCTTATTGGTTTCTGGATCATTATGGACCCCCATTAAAAATTGTACGAAGGTTACCGTTTATCATACAATGTAGGCTTTCACGGCCGGTTTCCATATCAAAATCAGTTGTTTCCGGGCTTGACAATCAGACGCGAGAACAGGCGCGACCCAATCAGACGCGAGCGCGCGAACCTCGCCTTTCACTATGAATACAGGCCCCAGAGCCGCGGGAGCGTCAGTCAACGCGGCGCTGCCAACAAGGACACTTCGCCCCCGCCAGCAACGCCACTGAGGATGCCTGCCACAGCTGCAGGCGAAACGTATGGACAAGTCTCCATTGGACCACGGCCTTCAAGCCCGGAAACAACTGATTTTGATAGGTTGCCTTTTATGTTTCGGGATTTGGCAACCCTGGTGTTGCAATCGCAACGTTTTGACATACCAGCGCTATTTGTGTTGTTTACAGTAACTTAAAAGATTTATCTTGGCCCAAAAATGGAATTAAATCGTGAACATTTTCGTGCGATTATTTTTTACAACTTTCGTCGTGGATTAACTCAGCAACAGTGGACGGATGAACTTAATTCAATTTTTGGCGATTAAGCTCCATTAAGGACCAGTGTTTATCGATGGTATGGTGAATTCAATCGTGGGCGTAGTTCACTCCAAGACAAATTTCGCAAAAGTCGTCCAAAATCAGTTGTTGCTCTGAAAACCATTGATGCTGTGCGTGAAGTGATATTGCAAGATCGTCATGTGTCCTATCGTGAGATTGAGACAACCTTAGGCATTAGTGGGACCAGCATACATTCAATTTTGCGTGAACATTTGTCAAAAAAATTTGTTCGCTTTGGATCCCTCACAATTTGTCAATCGCTCAAAAAAAGGTTCGTGTCAATTGGTCGAAAGAAATGCTCAAAAAATACGATCGCAGTGCTTCGAAACACGTCTATGCCATCGTGACAGGTGATGAATCGTGGATTTACGCGTATGAGCCCGAAAATAAACAGCAGTTCACTGTATGGGTGTTTCAAGATGAGCAAAATCTAACAAAAGTTATTCGCGCACGAAGCACTTCCAAACAGATGGCCGCCTGTTTTTTTCGAAAAAACTGGACATGTCACAACCGTACCACTAGAACAACGCAGAACAGTCAATTCTGAGTGGTACACAACGATTTGTTTGCCAGCTGTCGTCCAAGAAATCCGGAAAACCAACCACCGAAACTGATCACTCTTCACCACGACATTGCGAGCTCTCACACATCGGCTTAAACAACTGCATTTTTGAGCACCCAAAACATCGATTTAATGAGTCATCCGCCGTATAGTTCTGACTTGGTACCGAATGACTTCATTCCCGTGCGTTAAAAAAAACTGCGATGTCAACGATTTCCGTCTGTCTGTCTGTGTCCATCCGTCCGTCCGTCTGTCTGTCTGTCTGTCTGTCCATCCGTCTGTCCATCCGTCCGTCCGTCCGTCCGTCCGTCCGTCCGTCCGTCTGTCTGTCTGTCCATCCGTCCGTCCGTCCTGTCTGTCTTTCCATCCGTCCGTCCTGTCTGTTTGTCTGTCCATCCGTCCGTCCGTCTGTCTGTCTGTCCATCCGTCTGTCCATCCGTCTGTCCATCCGTCTGTCCATCCGTCTGTCCAT